CATGAGTAGTACATGTTTGCATACTACATTGTATTGTAGTATCTCTGTTCAGTGTGTACATGTTTGCATACTACATTGTATTGTAGTATCTCTGTTCAGTGTGTACATGTTTGCATACTACATTGTATTGTAGTATCTCTGTTTAGTGTGTACATGTTTGCAATACTACATTGTATTATAGTATCGGGCAACTGGAACTTCAACGTGAAAGAAACCCATGTAATTGAACTCAAAACCAACATGTCAAAGTCCATGTCCAAACTCATCTGAGTCGCTGAGTGTATTTGGGATGTACTCTCTTTGACTATATAACAATATTTTTCCGATCTTAGCTCCATACCGCCTAATCCGTTTCCAAATGGGATATATTTGCATGGGAAATTTATATACGCCTTTTGTTTAATCTTGTGGTTTAGTCTCCAGAAATAGTGATTTTTGATAACAATTTTCAATATTGATTTGTTGATTTTCAATGGTCACAGTCACAGCGTGAATTGGTTGTAGACTTATTTCCATACCGTCAATGAAATAGTATGACCTCAGCATTTTTTGCCAAATAAACTCTTCTCTAATACTTTCTCAACACTATCTTTTCAATAGTGAAGATATAAATCGAGACGTAAATCAATCAATAAAATTATCGTAACCCTACAAATATTTTTTTCAGAGAACCGTGAAAGCCAGTAGACCAGCACCAGATTGGGGCCCGGCTTTAAATAAACATAGGATAGAGGCGGGATATGAACCTCTGATGGAAGACGCTTCGGTTGGCGTTCGTAGCTACGAACCGACAACGGAACGTAAAAACGGTATGCCACACAGTGGCAGCGGCAGTACTTACGTAAGACCTGGAGCACCCTACCTGTACCCTGCCAGCAGTTCTATGGGTGTACAGTGCGATATGTAGTATCCACCGTATTCAAATGCTACATTTTAAAGACTGCTTTCTATTACATTATTTTATATGATGCAATGCAATGATTGTGATTTTGTAAAAGACGTAACGTAACTGTACGTCTGTATATTTGAAAGGGCACATAATACACGTGGTGATATCGAGTGTTTGGGAAACTGGAAGTCGAACCAAGATGTGAATGATTGGCTACATACCTTGTCTATAGTAATTATTCATAATATATATAGATACTAGCTGTAGTGTACGTTGTGTTTGATTATATTTTAGCGCTAGCTTGATAGGCGTGTTCTTGATGAGTTTGATCTCGCATATTAGTGTTACATGTTCCTAAAGTAGTACATGTTACACGGTGCTTTTTTATTACAGAATTGTCTGTTTTTCTATTTCGTATTTTATTTTTCATATTATATATTACATATAGCGATAATGAACAGTCTTTTTTAAAGTAACTAACATTTTGATGTATATCATTATTATTAATGAACCTTTTGCAGTTTTACGGCAGGTACAAATATATAAACTGAGTTGGCCTTAATTCGAACAAAGCAATAGAAATGAACTTAATGTAACAGCCCTACTCGACACAAATCACCAAACGAGGGACCTCCATCTTATTCCCTGTGTAATCTACAAACGGGAGTGTTTGCTTAAATAATGGGTTCGACTGCGTCTCGTCCGAAATTGCGAACATCCCGGTCCTGTACCGTTATCACGCAATAATGTACAGTGCATCGTCAACTGCATTCAGTATGTGTGTTGGCAGGGTACTGAAGATTTGAATATTATACAACTTTGTTACGGATGCACAGTGCACCGCCCAAGGAATAGTATCTGATTTTCCCCAACTATTCATCTGAACTAAAATTGAAGATATATTTGTCAGTGCATAACATGATATTGGTTCTATCTCGTTCTAATCAACGCATTATCTTAATCGTATTATCTATTCTATTTATTATGAATGCTTTTAACATTGTATGTCACACGTGTGTGTTATTTTCTATGTCATAGTTTCAAAATAAATCTTTACAAAACAATATATATATATTTTTTCAGGTGACTGTTTTTTCATGTTTGGTTGGGGTTAAATTT